GTCCAGGCAATGCAACTCCCACCCCAAGGCACCCACGCATCCCAGACCCCGCTACCCCCACCCCCAAAAAAAAGGGACCCAGGCATCCGGGCCCTGTTGCCATGGTAACAGCTGCTTTATTGCCCCCCCCCCCCCCCCAGGGTGTCTGCTGCCACTGGAGGGGCCCTTGCACGAGGACGGGGGTGAGAGGCCCTCGCACGAGAACCCTGGTGCCCAGCAGAAGCCATTAAACCGTTCACCGCCGTGACCGCCGTTCACAAGCGTCGCACAAGTGCCTTGCGCGAGCGCCTCGCACGAGGGGAGTGGTGCACAAGTGCTCGGAGGTGGGGGGTGTAGCGGTGGTGGGGGCCCGAGGCCGGCGGCGCCGACATTGCGGGGGACCCCTCGCGCGAGGGGTCTCAGAGGGGCTCCTGCCCCCCCGTCAGCTTGTGGAACAGGCGGAGGTCGAGGGGTTGGCCCGGCTGCCGCCCCCCCAGGCACAGGTACCCCCCCAGGAACTCGTGCAGCGCCTGGCACGGGGCCGACAGCACGCACAGCGCCAGCGTCACCTCCCCCTCCAGCTCCAGTGTCACCTGCAGGGAGCGAGGCGTCTGGGGGGGGGGGCCCAGGCCTCCGGGCACCCTGACCCGCCCCATACACCCCAAAGGACCCAGGCGTCCAGGGGGGGCCCAGGCCTCCAGGCACCCTGACCCCCCCCCATACACCCCAAGGGACCCAGGCGTCTGGTGGGGGGGATACCTGGCTGTCACCTCCCCAGAACTTCCAGTCTCTCCCAGTCTCCCCCCCCAATACCTCCCAGTAGCTCCCAGTCCATTCCCAGTGCCTCCCAGCCCCACCCCTCGATTCCCGGTCCGCTCCCTGTCCCTCCCAGTCCCCCCAGTACCTGCTGGGTGTCCCAGTTGACGTTCCACTGGCGCAGGGCGCTGTACCGCCAGGCACGGGTGACGCTGCCGGTGCCGGGATCCAGCCGGAGCAGCCGGGAGGGGCCGACGCCCAACACCTCGTCCCGGCGGCTGCCCTTGAACCTGCGCCGGACACCTGGGTTCCGCCGGCCGCCTGGGTGGCCCCCCCATCCCTGGGGCTCTCCCAGTGCCTCCCAGTAACACCCCATCCCCTCCCTGTGCTGCCCAGTGCCTCCCAGAGCTCCCCAACCCATTCCCAGTGCCTCCCACTAACGCCCCATTCCCCTCCCTGTGCTGCCCAGTGCCTCCCAGAGCTCCCCAACCCATTCCCAGTGCCTCCCAGTGCCTCCCCATCCCCTCCCAGTCCCACCCCCTACCGCACGAGGAAGTAGGCCAGGCCGAAGCCGGGCAGCGCCCTCCAGGCCTCCAGGAAACGGAGCCGGGCCTGCGCCGGCGACAGCGCCCCCACGCGGTGGAGGACCTCCAGGATGCGGGGCACCAGCTGGGGGCGAGTGTGAG